GCCAATGACCAATGAGGACTTGCACACAGAGTTGCTTTCACATTGCAGCACTTCAGCTAGATGAGATAGATTTCAATATGGAACGTATTCATTATGACTTATTTTGCTTTGATAAATGTTTGTTCTGTACAAAATTAAGAAAAAGTTACTAAACCAATACTGGTTGAAAATGTAGTTTGTGATAATTAAAAAACTCTATATCTAAATGGCAAAAGGTTTATTTTTATTATTTTTTTACACATCATATTGTTCATTATGGCTGGTAATCACAATTGTCTCCTTACTGTATCTTTTTTGGATCATACCTCTTTCTTCCAACCTCATATCCAATTCAACCTGTAGAATTCTCATTTTGATTTAATGTTCTTCCTTCAGATATTGCATTTTTTGCTTATGAAATTCTCTGGCTAACTTTTCATGGATGGTCATCTTGCTTGTTCTCTGCTGAAAGGTGGTGGCAGCATCTTTTCTCAGGGATGCTAGAGCAGATGTGGAGGGCACACACTCATTGTGCTCTGGCTATTCCAACCTGTTCAGATTCCCTTCTTCTGTGAGGAAGAACACAATAGCACAAATAAACTCACATGATCCTTAGGATGAAAGAAGAATAAAGATTGACAGAGTGGAATATATGTACCAAATGAAGTAACCAATTTCTTTCTTACATACCATTTGTGCTCAGTTCCTCATCTGAACTGTTCAAGTGATCATCATCTGGTATACCATCCAGAGGTTGCGGGTGCTGTATTATTCCAGACAGCAAGTCACTCAATTCATCAGTTATGTCTTTATTTGGTAGTCCACCACCAGTAGTAAAATCGCTGTCTTCTGATATCTGCATTCTGTCTTTTTAAAGCCAGTTTAAGGTTCTTCCACAGTCTATACAGGCAAATATCATTCATTATAAATAGTCTCAAAAATATGAATGACAAATGTGCTATGATAATAATGAAGAAATCTCACCTGAAGTTGTTGTATTGTTCTTGTGGTTGCATTTTCATTTGCATTGAATTCATTGCAAATTGCATTCCAAGCACTCCTTTTCTTTTGCTCACTAGCAGTAGTGTGGATTTTACTTTCAATAACTGGATAGTTTGTCACAATTTGTTTCAGTGGGGTTTTTTATACTCACTAAAGTTTTTGAACAAATTATTTTTGCCTCTGCCATTGTTTTGTGTCAAGATGTACACCAATAATAATGTTTTCTAGTCCATTCCAGGTTGTGATGAGCACCATCAGACCAACGGCATGTGCTTATACTCAACATAATCAGGCTTATCCCAGGTGTTCTCATTTAAGCTTACTTAATTTACTCCAGGACTCTGTAGTCTCCGACTAAGCCACGTTCATGAAAGGTACTTAAATGTTAAAAGTAAAAAATTTTAAGCACCTTTCACGGGCTCACTTAAGCACATGGGATCCTTAAGTGAAAAAAAAGTCTTGGTTACATATGTAACCTTGGTTCCCTGAGAAGGGAACACTGTGTCAGTAGCTGATGCTATGGAACACCTCCAGGTTTGTCTGAAGTCCATATATAATCAATTAAATTCAAGTTTTCAATTCAAGTTTATTTGTACAGCGCTTTTCACGATGCAAATCATTGCAAAGCAACTTTACAGCAAATTAAGTTTCTACAATATTTAGTGGTAGCTTATCAGTGGTGACTGTCAGTTAATGTACATATGGCAGAAATGTACGGAAAAATCAATT